GAGGGACAGCGCCCAGGCCCAGAGTTCAGGCCCCATGACAGGACCCAAAAAACAAAAACAAGAACTTAAAGGAAGTAAAGAGTGTCATGGTTTCCATGCTGGGAGCTTGTGGTCTAAGTAAGGGTTCCAGCTAAGAGATTAGGGATAAATGTTAAAAACTCGAATTATATTTCCATTTGCATTGTTCACTAACAACCGGGATTAGAAAGAACATAGAGAGGTGAATGAATAGGCCATGTCTGGGCTGGGAAGGTGGCTCAGTGGTAGAGCGCTTGCCTTGCATGCCTGAGGCCCTGGGTTTGATTCCTTAGCACCACATTTAAAAATAAAAGCTGGAAGTGGCCCTGTGGCTCAAGGGGTAGAGCGCTAGCCTTGAGCTGAAGAGCTGAGGGACAGCGCCCTGGCCCAGAGTTCAGGCCCCATGACCGGACCCAAAAAAAAAAAAAAAAAAGAAGAGGCCATGTCTGAATCCTGGGGCCCTGTTCTGCCTCTCTGTTGTCCTAGAGGACAACATTTCCTAGAGGAGGCTGGATATAATGAGCCTAGCCGCCGGTGCCCCCTACCCTTCCTTACTACCCCAGTCTCCAAGATGAGGTAGGCCAGGCTTTCTTTTTGCTGTCCCTGCAGCTCTCCTAAATGGAATTCTGCCCCCCCTGGACATTTCTTTGGGATGGCGAGGGCTAATGTTTGAAGTATGAGGAGTTACTTTGCTTGCTTGTTTGGTGCTATTATTATTTGCTTTGAGTGCTACTAGAATGAGCTAGAATCAGCTTAGCACTGGACTGGCTACTTCACCAGTCCTTCCTGTGAAGAGAAGCAGACAGAGAGAGCAGGGCTCTGGGCAGCATGCCTGTGTTTGTCTTGCGGGTCTCTGCTCTGGACTCCTTGAGAAGTTTTGTACCATTTTTAATGAAAAGTGAATTTTCTTCTTGAGTTTCGATCCTAGAGACTTATGGGCATTCAGCCATGGCCCTTTGATCTGTCACAGAAATATTATGCATACAACTCTTAGTACCTTCAACTTTGGACCTGAGAAATTAAAAGAATAGGGATTAAACTTATTTTAGCCACCCAGTAATCTTGGTTTTGGGTCTGGAGATGTGAAATTATAGAAAGACTTTGTTAGTTGTTTTTTTTTGTAAATACACAATTATGTAAATACTAAATCATGGCAGCAGCCATATAATTACTTGGCTGAAAAAAAATCTTCAGTAGTTCTATATCTTTTTTCTTGTTACAAAAATTGCCTTTGAAATATACAGAGAAGTGACAGATTCTAAGCTGGATGGACTTTCCTGTGCTTGTGGCTCTAGCATCCAGGTGAAGAAATTAGATCTTACCCCAGACCCATTCTGACCAGCGTGTGTGCTGGTCCTGGGGCTTGAACTCAGGGCCTAGGCACAGTCCCTAAGCATTTTTTGCTCAGGGCTAGCACTCTTGAGCTATAGCTCCACTTCTGACTTTTTGGTGGTCAGTTGGAGATAAGAAGAGTCTTGTGCCAGGTGCTGGTGGCTCACGCCTGTAATCCTAGCTACTCAGGAGGCTGAGATCTGAGGATCATGGTTCAAAGCCAGCCCGGGCAGGAAAGACTGTGAGACTCTTGTCTCCAATAAACCACCAGAAAACCAGAAGTGGCGCTGTAGCTGAAGTGGTAGAGTGCTCGCCTTGAGCTGAAGAGCTGAGGGACAGCGCCCAGGCCCAGAGTTCAAGCCCCATGACCGACAACAACAAAAAAGAAAAAAAAAAGTCTTGTGAACTGTCCTACAGGTGGTGGTTTTGAACCATGATCCTCAGGTCCCAGCCTTTTAAGTAGCTATAGCTACAGGTGGGAGCCACCAGCGCCCGCTTTGTGACCCCTTTTTTGTTTGTTTCAGAGAGAGTCTCATCATGTAGCCCAGGTGGATGTGAAACTCTCAATCTTCCTGCGGATTACAGGTGTGAACCATCATGCCTGATGCCATTGTTCAGATTGCTAATAGCACAGATTCACTTTGCATTTTAGAGAAATGGACATTTTATAATATGTACTCTTTGGTGCCTTCCTTAATAGTCGATCCTCCATTCTCACTTCTGTGTTTGTATGACTATACCACATGCTATGTATCTATAGCCATTGTCTTTCATTTTTGCATTGTTGGAGATTAAAGCCAAGGACTCTTGTGTGCTAAGTCCACACTCTACCTCCAAGCTCCACCTCCAGCCCTCCCGTTGTCTTTTTCCTTACTTTTCATGCTCCCTGAACCAGCCCTGACTCTAGCTAGACTGAACTCTGGTGCTCATTCTGAGTTCATGGAGTAGAAGCACAGATACCTTTTGAGTGTTCTTCTGGGCTCTGGCAATCAAAGGTGATCCTGGGAATCCCTGGTTACTAATCTCAAGGAAGTCTTAATCTGAAGAATATATTCTTCCATTTCTGGGCCTTGGTTCTTGCTGTTTTCCAGAATCTTGAATGTTCTTGTCCTTCAGCCCTCTCCTGCCAAAGAAATCTAATGTGTGCTGTCAATGTCTCAGGGCCAGTTGCAGAGGGAAGTTTTGGGGAACTTACTTGGTCTCTTTCACTTGCCTGTAACTTATTTAAGGTACTGTCAGATTGCATTTTAGTAAACAGATCAACTCCTCATGTTTTTTGTTTTTGTTTTTTAGGTCTAGTCATGGGGCCTGAACTCTGGGTCTGGGCACTGTCCCTCAGCTCTTCAGCTCAAGGCTAGTGCTCTACCACTTGAGACATAGCACCACTTCCGGCTTTTTTCTTTTTTTCTTGGTCGTGGGGCTTGAACTCGGCCTGGGCGCTGTCCCTCAGCTCTTCAGCTCAAGGCGAGCGCTCTACCACTTGAGCTACAGCGCCACTTCCGGTTTTCTGGTGGTTTATTGGAGATAGGAGTCTCACAGTCTCTCCTGCCCGGGCTGGCTTTGAACCATGATCCTCAGATCTCAGCCTCCTGAGTCGCTAGGATTACAGGCATGAGCCACCAGCACCCAGTTTCGGCTTTTTTCTTTTTGCTTATGTGGTGCTGAGGAATCGAACCCAGGGCCTCATGCATGCAAGGCAAGCTCTTTACCACTGAGCCACCTTCCCAGCCCCAACCCCTCATGTTTTGTGCAGTTAATTTACACATAATTTGTACTTAATCAAATTGAAATGAAGGAGAAGGGAAGCAAACTATTCATTTGCCTGTAATGAGGCTCTGCTTCTCCTGCTCACAGCTGGTGCTCTACCACTTGAGCCATACCTCTAGTCTGACATTTTGCTGATTCATTGGAGATGGAGTCTTTCAAAATTTTTTTGCCCAGGCTGATTTCTAACTGCAATCCTCCAGGTCTCAATCTCTTTGAGTAGCTGGGATTACAGGCACAAGCTACCTGTACCCTGCTTGGGAAGCAAATATAAAGCTCTGGTATTGAAGCTTGGGGCTTCCTGGGCACAGAGCCTCTGGCCAAGAGTGAAGTGGGGCTGGTGGACCAGCAACATATGTAGCAAGCACTAACCCTGGAGTTACAGACCAGGGCCCTCTCTTTATTTGTTGTCTTTATGAACTGGGGTAACTGATTAACCTTTGAAGGTTTGGTTTCTTCATATGTAAACCAGGGACATACTAATTGTCATTTTACAAGGATGCTATAAAACAAGATAACATTCGTGAACATATTTTGTGAAACGTAAAACTTGATAGGTTCTAAGGCATTTTCCGTGAGCCGAGTGAGTTTGGGACTTCAGGTGTTAATCATTGTGTCTGCTTGCTGTACCCAGGGCTAATCGCCACCTGAAGTCCATCTTCTCAGCCTTGTTTGTTGGCTCTCTGTCCCCTGCCCTGTGAGAATTTACAGTTAAACTTTCTCAGAATGTTGTGAGTTGCATATTTAACCTTTGAAGAATGGGCAGAGGCTCTTCATGATTGCCTTGTGCTCTTGGCTTGATTTGGGTTCTGTGAAAACATTTGAATGAATGACAAGCCCCACCTGGTTACAATATAGCTTATTTCCCTCTCTTCTTCTTTTTTATTTTGCCAGCTGTGGGGCTTGAACTCCATGCTCTGAGCTTTTTCTCTCAAGGCTAGCATTCTACCACTTTGAACCAAAGCCCCACTTCTGGCTTTTTTTTTTTTTTTAGTAGTTAATTGGAGATAAGAGTCTCAGACTTTCCTGCCTGAGCTGGCTTCCAACCACAATCTTCAGCCTCCTGAGTAACTAGGATTACAGGTATGAACTACCAGTGCCTGGCCAGCATAGCTTTTTTTAATGAAATAATCAGTGGCCTAGGTTTATTTCTACTTGGGTGTTTTGCACCTGAGAGCATGGGTTGAAGAAACATCATTTGTCAGAGATCCTCTGGATTGCTGGCTTTGAGGATGAGGTCTCAGGTCTCAGATGGAGAAGTATCCAAGTATCCAAGCGGCAGCCACAGCCTGCCTCGAAGCTTGACTTACCTGCTACCTTTTCTCTTACTCTTTTCTTGCAGACAGATGTTTCTGCAAAGACCTGGCAACATCCTAGAGTTTGCTGCAGGTGAGTAAGGTGGGGAATGGAGACTTGGACAGGCTACCCTCCCCGTGGAGTCTGGGGGGCCTTCTCTTTTGACAGCTGTCCCCCTGGGGGCTATTTTCAGAAGGCTTCATTGCTCTGCTGTTATTTCCTCAAAATGAGGCCAGATAAGAAAGGAGACAGAACTTTCGCTTGGTGAGGATTGTTAAGAATTTTGAAATTCCCAACAGAAGACAGGCGCATCCCTTTTCCCTGGGGATCTCACAGGGGTTCCTGACCCTGGCTGCATATTAGAATCACCTGGGGAGCTTTTACAACATGCCCATGCTCAGGCCCCACCCCTAGAGATATTTTTATTTAATTAGTCTGGGGGGCGGGGCCCAGTATCCATAGCTTTAAAGGTCCCCCAGGTGACTCTAATGGACTTGGTTGCTCTGAGGTGGCTTAAGGTCAGTGGTATTTAGCAGGACTGGAACGGAGCTGGGCCATTTCTTGAGCAGTTAACCCTGCAAGCAGGTCGCGCGTTCTCCAATGTTTGGGAACGAAATCTAAGTACGTCTTTGCTACACGGCAGATGCAGCCTGTGACTCACATGCTGCCGGGGTAGAAAGCCCTCTTCTGTCGTCATCCTGCGGAGTCTGGCTCTCCTCAGAGAGGGTGTTCTCAGAGACAGGCGCTGGCAAGCCCAGTGAATACGAGAATAACACTTGGCATTTCTTTGCGCCTCAAGATGGGCCCGGAGCAGAAAACTGAGAGACTCTCTGAGCCTTCTGAGGCTGCCCTGTGTCAGCAGACAAGGAGCAAATGGCTGTGGGCATAGGTCCACCCTCCCTGGGGATTGGAGCCCTCGAGCAAGGACAGCGGCCTAGGGACTTGCCGTGAGGGCTTGCTTGCTCACAGACACTGTGAGTCCCTCCAGCAGCCTGGCTTAGGACCAAGCCATCCTCAAAGTAAGCTGGGTCCCTCCAGTCTTTTCCACTTTAGTATAAATGATTTCTTCTTCTTTTTCTTTTTTTTTTTTTGATTTTTATCCCAGACTATTTCACGGATCCAAGACTTCCCAACAAGATTCACACGCAGCTAATTAAAGACAAGAAAGCAACTTAATTAGCAAAATCCTGACGCTCAGCTGTTGGGAGAGACCAGCCAGAATGAGCCTCGGGTGGGTGCTAGCCTCACTTAGCTGGGGAGGCGGCTTCATTCTGCATTTTGGTTTAGGGTAAGAGGAGGAGAGCAAGCAGGGAAAGGCCGAGAGGAGCTGGAGAGCTTAGCGCCCGCGCGCTGTCTCCCTGCCACGGTTTCGGGGAATTAGGCACTGTGGCCTAGCATATTAGTGACAGGAGCCTTCCACCTAAGGAAACAGCGGGAGAAAGCAGTAAAGAGATGGGGAGGGGTCCTTAGCACCAAGTTTGCTCCTGCAGGAGACCTTCCCTACCACCCCGGGGCTGGGAATGGAGCACTTACTTTCTGTGCATTTTGGATTGGGTGCTTTCTATGCTGTGTGTGTGTGTGTGTGTGTGTGTGTGTGTGTGTGTGTTGGTCATGGGGCCTGGGTACCCTTCAGCTCAAGGTGAGTGCTCTACCACTTGAGCAACAGCACCACTTCTGATTTTCTGGTGGTTAATTGGAGACAAGTCTCACAGACTTCCCTGCCCAGGCTGGCTTTGAACTGCGCTTCTCAGATCTCAGCCTTTTGAGTAGCTACGCATACAGGCGTGAGCCACTGGTGCCAGGTTCTACTCCATCTTTAAACCAGGCTGTGCTGTCAGGTGCCAGTGGCTCACATCTGTAATCTTAGCTTCTCAGGAGGCTGAAAAGCTGAGAATTGAGGTTCAAAGCCATACTGAGCAGAAAGGTTCATAAGACTCTTCAGCTAACCAGCAAAAAGCCCTAAGTAGAACTGTGGCTTAAGCTAAGAATGTAAAAGCTAAGAAACAGAGCGCAAGTCCTCAAGCCATAGTACCAGGACAAGAAAACAAACAACAACAAAAACCAAGCCCAGGTTGTGTCACGAAGGTCACCACAGCTGTTTTTCAAGCAGGATGACTGAAACTGTTGTGAAATCTGGGATTTTTTTTTCTTTCACTTTTTGGATGTGAGGTAGGAAAAGGACACACTCCTGACTTAGCAGACCCATTTCTGTTTTGCAGGGTCACCTGACAGCCCGAGAGCCCTGTTGCTGTTCGTGTGGGTTTTCAAACTGCCTTGGGCTCTGTCTGCTGTCTCAAAGGCTTTTAAAATCTCATTAAAACTAGACCTTTCTGCTCTCAGCTGTGTTTCACTGGGGGAGGGAGGAGGCCCATGGTTCTGGTTCTCAGCCGTGGTGGAAAGGGCTGTTCCCACTCCAGCTGCTCCCTCCCCCCAGGGTCTAGGCCTGGGCTGGGACCACAGCTGGTCATGGTGGGGCAGGAGCTGAAAGTCCACCTTTCAGCATGTCAGTGCCCGGGCAACTGGATAGCTAGAGCGCAAGCAACGATCAGCTGATTTCTATGGAAGCAGTATAGTGAGAGGAGGAGGCCGGAGGCCATCACAAGAGATTGAGATGAGACATTGAACACCCAGTGGGGTCTGAATATTGTGAACTAGGAGCTTGGCAGGAGACTTTAAAAGGGGGGGGGTGGACTTTGTTCTTGAGGATTTTTAGGTACAAGCTGTCCATCCATTTGATTTTTAACTGAGAGGCAGAAGAATGGACCAGATGGCCTCCTGAAGTCCTTTTCAGCCCTACAAGGCTTGTGGTATGTATGTGTGTATCTCCCTCTCTGGCCTCCACAATATAAAAACAGACCAAAGCAGAGGTTGTATTATTTTGATTTCCCTCGTCTCTGCCTGCTTGTTCCCAGCTGCCATCACCTGCGGTAGTGGAAAGGGCACCAAAACAGGGCACTTAAAGAACTATTAAAACTACTGTTAAAACAATAAACTATGGAATAGGAGCCGGAAAAGTTATTTTAATTGCTTTCAGAATTGCACTTTGGCAGCTCTGAGCACTGAGAATGAGATATCGTGGTTTAGAAAAATCCAAGCAAAACCTTTAGCAAAAAACCCCCCCACATCCTGTAATCCCAGTACTTGGGAGGTAGAGGAAGGAAGACTGTGAGTTCGAGGCCAGCCTGTATAGATGTCTCCAAAAAAATGAGAAAAACGAAAATAAAAAAAAGCATTCTGAATAGCCACTAAGAACCTGGGATGTGAGTGAAGGGTTACGTTGTTACCACACTCGTATATCCTTTCCTGGGAAAACAGACCTGCAGCAGTGGGGGCAGGGTTCAAGTTTGAATATATGACACAATGGTGGAAATCTAGCATTTCTCTTAATGTAACTTTGTGTGTGTGTGTGTGTGTGTGTGTGTGTGTGTGTGTGTGTGTGTGTGTGTGCTGGTCCTGAGCTTGAACTCAGATCCTGAGCGCTCTATTCCTGAGCTTTTTTGTTCAAGGCTTGAGCCACAGCTCAACTTTTGGAAGTTCATTGGAGGTAAGAAGCTCATGGACTTTCTGCCCCAGCTCCTGTACTCAGGAGGCTGAGATTCAAGGATCTAGGATTACAGGCATAAACCACCAGCACCAGCCCTGAAATAATGTACTTTGGAGCCTTCTTGAGAAAAGAATGGATTTAATGTTCCTAGTGCTTCTTGGTGTGAGCTGCTGGCCTAGGTTGTAGGAGTAGGGTTGTATATGGGCTGGGAGATGAGCTTCTTCCTTTCCATAATCTTGTCTGCCTTATTAGACTGAAAACTTCATCAGGGCAGGGTTCAAACCTAAAGATCTCACTTGATCACTGCTTAATTCCTGGCACTTAGCAGTATCTGGTAAAGAGCCAGTGTTCAGTAAACATCTGGGGAGAGAGAGTGAATGCATGCGTAATGAATGCATACATCAACTGCTGTAATACAATACCATACCTGAAATGGGAGCAGGTGTGTAATAGAGGGGGAAGATGAGTGCCAGGTTTGGGTGGGGAGTGATGGCAATCTCAGAGAAACTGGCATTTCATGGGCAGGAAGGGGTTTCCAGACAGATCTGGGGTGAAAATACCCCCACTTTCTCCCATTCTGCTGGGCACAGAACTCCTAGCTGCTCATCTTCCTCAGAGAACTTCAGGCTTGTTGAAGGCAGTATAGAGCTCAGCCTCATGTGGTGGATCCTATTTGATCTAGGCCTTATTACTAGCTCATATTGATGTAATATATCTTATTGATCTAGCAATGGCAGACATTTCCTGATTTTTCAGCCTCCCACAGCTTTTAGTTGATAAGCTATGGGTAGAAGACTTTAGGGGGTGGGAAGTTCTAGGAAAAATTTTAATTTTTTTTCTTTTTTTGCACTGGTCCTGGGACTATGAACTCAGGAACTAGGCGCTGGCCCTGACCTTTCTTTTAGCTCAAGGCTAGCACTCTACCACTTGAGCCACAGTTCTTACTTCTGGCTTTTTGGTGGTTAATTGGAGATGAGAGTCTTAAACGAACTTTCCTGCCTGGGATGACTTTGAACTAAAAGCCTCAGCTTTCAGCTAGGATTTCAAGTGTGAACCACCAGGGCCAGATAAATTTTGAATTATTAAGAGAATGTATGACAGTTTGCACTTTCTGATGTGGGATGTGATGCCTGGAGCTTAAGACCAGAAGCAGTAAATGTGAGGGTGAATACTAGCTCCTCCTCCTCTTACCTCTGGCCTGACATCAGCTGAGAATGTATTTAACTGCAAGTAACATGAACCCAGTTTACAATGGTATAAGCAAATAGGAGGTTATTTTGTTCACCTGATAGTGTTAAGATGCAGGATTCAGTTTCAGAGATGTGGCCTTTTCTGTCTTTGCCTTCTGCCAGACTTCACCTGCTCCTCTTGGTGGTAATCCCAGGTGTCATTTCGGCATTTCAGGCAGGAGATGGAGAAAGAGCCGTATCAGCTGACTGTTCCTTTTCATCATGGAAGAATATTTACTTGGAAGTCCTTCTTACCTACATCCCATGGGCCAAACTACGGTCATGTGGCCCACCCTGGGCACAACAGAGACCCAGACAGGGACAAAAGGAAGAAGGAAGTTCCTGTCCTCCAGGAACTGAAAATTCAGATTCCAGGGTCCCTCCTGCCTCATGAACTTCTTCCCTCCCCGCTACACACTGGTCTTCTGTTCTTCACATATGCCAACATAGTTCCCATTTCAGAGGTTTTGAACTCTCTTCCTGTTCTTTCCCCCAGGCTTCCCCAGGGCTAGTGGGTGGTGTGATGAGAGGAAGAGAAAACCCCATCGAGAGGGGCTGCTTTTCTCTCTCAGCAGGTCTGAAGAGGGCAGCTGCTGGCGCTGGTTTGGGGCCTGCATCTCTCATGTTTTCCTCCTTTATCTTAGGGGAGGAGCCATAGGACCAGGAAGGTACTGTGCCAGCATGCTTGTCTGTCTTTTCTAGAAAGAGAACCCAGCACAGCCCTCCACAGACATCGTGAACAGAACTGTGCAAGCACCTGTTAAGGAAAGCTGGGAAATTGAGTACTGCAGCAGAAACATGTCCTAGATGGCTGCGTGTCTCCCCTAGAGATCCAGCCTCCCCCAGACATTTAAAAAATATTAAAGTATGCTTTCCCCCCAGCTGTTTTCTATCACATCACCCAGTTCTATTTTCTTCATAGCACTCCCAGATATTATTTCATTTATTTGGTTGTCTCTGTCTGTGGCCAAATCTTGTGAGCTCCAAGGAGGGCAGGCCTTGTCAGGCATGTTCAGCATCGCATGGTTGGCACCTACAACAGCATCTGGCACAGCTGTTCAGTACACATTTGCTGGATGACTGGATGGATGGGTAGATGGATGTGAAATTGGGAACTGCAGGATGAAGTCTGGATCTATGCAGTGGCACAAAAGTAGGAAATGGAGTTGGGCATCAGTGACTTATGCCTCTAATCCTAGCTACACAGGAGGCTGAAATCTGAGGATCGTGGTTCAAAGCCAGCCTGGGCAGGAAAGTCCTTCAGACGCTTATCTCCAGTAAACAGAAAAAGCCAGGAGTGGCGCTGTGGCTCAAGTGATAAGAGCGCTAACCTTGAGGACAGAGAGGCTCAGGGACAGAGGCTAGGACCTGAGTTCAAGTCCCAGGACTGGCAAAAAATAAAAAATAAATAACAAGGAGATAGAGATTCTAGACATCTTTAGGAGGAGTAATTCACAGGACTTGTGATTTGAAATGTGAAGTAGTTACAAGGGAATCTAGATTCTGTGGGCAAGTAATGATGGGGTTATTTACTAAAACAGAAGTGGGCAGGAGAAATGCAGGAGCGGGTATGACTTTAGACTGCAAGGCTTCCATGGAGTTTGCAGTCGGTCATGGGTAATAGTTACATGAATAGCTTTGGTGGAGAAGGCAGAAGTCAGTGCAGTGGGCTGGGCAGGGATTGTGAAATGCACATGCAGAAATGAATGCACACAGGTTATGGCTCTGGAGACATGGCTGAAAAGGAGGATCAGGAAGGACAACTCTGGAAGGAGAGCAGAGTCAAGGGTCATGGCGGATGGCTGAGCATCCAGTGGTGGTCTTTCTCCATTTTTTTGGTTACTCAAAGGGCTTGAGCTCAGGGCCTGGGCACTGTCCCTGAGCTTTCTGGCTGAAGGCTAGCACTCTACCACTTTGAGCCACAGCGCCACTTCCTGTTTTCTGGTGGTTAACTGGCAATCAAAGTCTCACAGACTTTCCTGCCTGGGCTGGTTTTGAACCTCCATCCTCAGATCTCAGTTTCCTGAGTAGCTAGGGTTATAGGCCAATAGGAGGTTATTTTGCTCACCTGATAGTGTTATCAGGCAGCATTCAGTTTCAGAGAAGTAGACAAGTACTCAGAGCAGGCCTTTTCTGTCTTTTCCTTCTGCCAGATTTTGCTGCTCCTCTTGGAGCAATGCCCAGCAGAGATTTCGTATTTTTACCTTTTTTTTTCAAAACTGGAGTTTGAACTCAAGGCCTCAAACTTTCTAGGCAAGCATTCTACCACTTATGGCACATCTGCAGCCCCCTATTTTACTTCTAGACTTAAAAGAATTCAGAGCTGCTTTGGAACTATTGCTCCTGTTGGAGCTGCTATGCAGGATCAAAGCCAGCTTTGCCACCAACTAACCTACAGAACCTTCCCTGTCAGAGATCTCCCCTCCAAAATTGGAAGAGTAGCTTCTACATGAACTTGCAGTGAAGGTCACCTGGGTCTGGTGCATTCTCAGGGTGAGAAACCAAAGCATATAAAAAGCAGGGCACCGTTTGGCTGGGCTGGCCTCTACTGCCCTCTTGTGGACACTGTCCCACCACTCGGAGAGTGCCTGTTGAAGGACTGAATGGGAAGGAGCCGAGGAAGAGGAAACAGGGCTGAGAATAGGAAGTAGGCATACATGTCTACATTGCTAGGGTAGAAAGTTCTAGAATCTAGCATATTCTTTTTTCACAGTTTTTTTTTTTGTTTGAGTACAGGGCCTTCTTGTTAGGTGCTATACTTGAGCCAGCCACCGCTCACCACAGAGCCCATTCTTTGCTTTATCTTCATCTTCATGTTATTACAAGAAAACTGGAATACTTACTAATTCTCAGGAACCTAAGCTATGCTTTTATTTTCGGAGCCAACCTGAATGGATATCAATACCTCCATCTCTTCGAACTATTGTAGGAATCGTATTCCTTCTTACACAGACCAAAACTCATACTGATCAATGAGTTCTGGGTTGCAAAAGAGATTTTTAAAAATTTTTTATTGTGAACATACTGTACAGAGGGGTTACAATTACATGGGCAAGATAATGAGTACATTTCTTATCAAGCATTGCAGCCTCCTCCCTTGTTTACCCTTCACATCCCTTCCCAGAAAAGAGGATTTTTTTTCATATCTTTATTGCACATGAAACACACACACACACACACACTAGTTTTTTGGTTTTTTTGTTTTTGTTGGTCGTGGGACTTGAACTCTGGGCCCGGGCTGTTCCTGAGCTCTTCAGCTCAAGCGAGCGCTCTACCATTGAGTCACTGCACCACTTCCAGTTTTCTGGTGGTTAATTGGAGATAAGAGTCTCACAGACTTTCCTGCCTGGGCTGGCTTTGAACCGTGATCCACAGATGTCAGCCTCCTGAGTAGCTAGGATTACAGGTGTGAGCCACCAGCGGCCGGCTACTGCATATTCCACCTGTTTTCAAGGGTTATTCCAACATCAGGCCTGATGTATAATAAAAGGTTTGGAGTATACTACTGTATGATTCATTCCCCTCAGCTGCTTGAGCTTTTACCAGGGAAGTAACCCGTGAGATGCTGTGCCAGCTGGGAAGGGAGAGCCGTCTGCAGCTGTCCTTGGGGAAACGTATAAAATGATGTTATGTTTAAAGGATCTAGAGTGGCTGGGTGCTGGTGGCTCACGCCCCTAATCCTAGCTACGCAGGAGGCTGAGATCTAAGGATCGTGGTTCAAAACCAGCCTGGGCAGCAAAATCCATGAGAATCATCTCCAATAAACCACCAGAAAACTGGAAGTGGTTCTGTGGTGCAAGAGGTAGAGTGCTCATCTTGAGTGAAGAGCTGAGGGACAGCACCCAAGCAGAGTTCTAGCCCCATGACCGACAAAAAAGAAAAAAGAAAGAAAAAGGATCTAAAGTGGGTGGCATGATGTCCATTCAGACGTTGCCTTTCAGGACTGGAACACTTGTCTGTGACCCTCCTCCCTCCCCCGCCAGTCAACCCCAGGGCAGCTGGGAATTCTGGTTCTGTTAGCTGAGCCCCTTCCAGTATCACCTTCCACTGAAGACCACTCACCATGCTGCTCCTGGTCAGTATGGAAGAGCAGAGAGATCTGCTTTCCTTCCTCAGTGTGGGGACAACTCTGCAAGAGCACATAGTTCATCATCTTTCTGCCTTGTCCTGTCTTCATTTGCTGAGTTGACTTCTAATCAACTTCTTTTACTCCAATTTCTATTTCAATATGTTTCTCAAGGAACCCATCCTGGCAACCATCAGTGCTAAGGGTGCTGAGGAAGGAGATTATTTTTTGTTGATGGTTGTTGTGAGGCTTGAACTCAGGGCTGGATGCTGTCCCAGAGCTCTTTTGCTCAAAGCTAGTGCTCAGCCCCTTTAAGCCACAGCTCTACTTCTGGTTGTTTTTGTTCTTGTGTTGTTAATTGGAGATAAAGAGTCTTGCAGGGACTTTTCCTCAGATCTCAACCTCCTGAGTAGCTAGGATTACAGGCATGAGCCACTGGCGCCTTGCAGATAGTCAAATGACTTTTTATTTTTTCCAGAGCTGAGGACTGGACCCAAGGCCTTTCACTTTCCAGGCAAGTGTTCTTTCACTGAGCTGAATCCCCAGCTCTTTGAGGAAGCAGACTCTAAAGTGGGATTTTAAAAGTGGAATTACCTGCTGGCCAGCTGGGAATGAGGACTCCTGAACTGCCGGCCAGGTCCGGGCACTGACAACAGATCAGTGTAATTATGTCAACTTTCATTAGTGCTGAGTGGAGACGGCAGAATGGAATGTCAGTAAGAAAGTATTTCAGGTTTGATATCCTATCAGGTTTTATAAAGACAGTGATATTCGATGGCTATTTTTGGGAGCAATCAGTGTATTCACAATAAAGGGCTGAGTGCAGTTAATCACCAAGTATGAAAGCCCACAGGCCTCTTTATTTTAGAGGAAGCCCCCAATCCTGAAAAAAAAAAACAACCCACAAAACTGAGAGTAAGGTACAGGATTTATTTCTGGACCTTAATTCAACAGGTCTAAATTCTGATGGAGTCTATTGAAAAGGAGTGAGACCCTGGGATTAGAATAGGAGCGTCTCAGCCGATGCTTTAAAACCTGAATCAGTTCCCCCGCTCTGGGCTGTAAACATGTGCTATTCAACTTATTTCACCTTAGTTTGTTTTTCAAGAGTTTAGGCCATTTTGTTTTAAGTTTGTGTGTCATTCATTTGCAAGGTCTCTAGTGATAGCATGTTTCATTTCTTGGACTGATAAGTTGTCTTTTCATTGTTTTGCTAGTAGTTTGCCTATTTTATTTTTTTCAAAGAAAGAGCTCTTCAATTATTTTTGTCTATTGCTTTTTAAAGTAAGCTTCATTGATTTGTTGATTCTTTTTATTTCCTTTCACATTCTTGTTACTTTGTTTCTTCTCCTTCACAGGCTTCTTTTTGGTGTTGCTGGAGATAGGGCTTTGCCTATGCTATCATTTTTCTAATACAGATTCAGATCATTGACTTAGGCCTTTTCTGTTTAACTATATATATAGTGCTATAATTTTCTTCAGCACTGATTTAACTGTTTAATGGTTAATTCTGTTATGTAGCTTTCTTTACCTGGTGGTTCTGGGGTTTGAAGTCAGGGCCTTACACTTGTTAGGCAAGCACTCTACCATTGAAGCTTTTTTAAAACTTAGCTTACATT